TGCTGCTCTGACAAACTTCACCTCAGCTTTGCAAATGTCAATCCCTCCAGCTCCCTGCTTTCCAGAGCCCCCGCCAGTGCTGGCTCCAGTTCCCTGCAAACCTGCCCCAGGCTGTGCCAGGCTGATGAGCAGAAGCCACTAGGTTGGACAAGGAAGAACCCTCCCCAACTGCTGCAGCTGCAGGGAGATCCAGCTACCAATGGAATCCTGGGAACAGCCTCCAAAATCTTCTCTAACCACACCTGGGCAATGGCTCAGAGTGCCAACAGCTCCAGTGCCAGCTTGGTCCCTGCACGAGTCCTTGTCCCAGCCCTGCCACAGTGACACCCACGGGAGAAATCCATGGGCACACAGGCCTTGCTTGCACAATTCCTCACCAGAGCTGAGGGAATTCAGACTCAGTCTTGAGAAATAACCTTTGCTGAGAGCACTCATCAGTCCATCAGGATTTGAAGGCAGTTTGGTAGGCAACAGACCCAAATTCTAATCCTACCTCGAAATTTCCAACAGCTTCTCTTAGAAAGATGCTGGACAGCAAATCAGACAACAGAACTCAAAGACTGCACAAGCAATAACAAAAGGTTTGCCAGGAAGAACAGGAGTTTCTTGTTTTCCTTAACACTCTGGGACTACAGGACCCAATCTTTGCAACCAAGTGAGAGTAGAGATGTTATTAATGCTTAAACCTCTTCCCCATGGTTCTGTCTCAGAGAACTGGTCCAGCCCTGAGCTACTCCCATGTGCCTGCAGAGCTTTGGGGAGGGACAGGACGATGTCCCACTTCTGCTTGGAAACATTCCAGAGGAGGAAAAGCCACTTCCCTTCTCTCTCTTTGACCCAGCACCAAAGCAGTCCCGTAGGACAATGTGGATTATGCACAAAAGGCCCGAGTCAGTGTGGAAAAAAAAACCCCCTAAACAAGCCAAAGCACCCCACATTTCAAGATAAAAACACTGCTTCCATAACAGGAGCACACAAAATTCACTGAAGCCAGAGAGGAAATTACAAATGAAAAAAAAAAAAAGACCAAAGGAGATGCTTTGCACTGATATACTCTCTGCTTGATCATTCCAAAGGAAATTCTTAACAGATCATAAGCCAGTACCAATAATTTGTCCTCTGCTGAAAATTAATGACTTGGGTTTCTGCTGCTGGGCTGGAAGTGTCCATGGAGGGTTCAGGGGTCTGGTGGGTTGTTTGTGGCTGATCCTGACCAGCCCAGGCCAACCCCAACCCCCACCCTCCCTTGCTGCTCCATCCCACAACCGGGGGGGAATGCTGATACCGTGTGGAAATACTCCCCTTCCCTGCTACTCCGTCCGTCCTTCCTTACCCATCCACGGAGCAGGTTTGCTCCACCCCTTGTTCCTAACCACAGCTCTCCAGCCCGAATCCCATCTCCCACAGACACAAACTAAACACACCCAAGGCAATGGTTCCATCAGCTCCTGGCATTCCGAGCTCCCCCTTCCCTGGCATGCTCATGCCAACACTCCCCGCAATCTCACCTCAGCCCACAGGCTCTCTGTCCTCTGAGGGAAACAGAGCCCGGTGGGACACAGCTCTGGCATCGCCTTTCCTCTCATGCCTGCTCTCCTGCAAAGCCTCAGGGAAATCCAATCCCTCAGACATCCCTGGGCACGAGGGCAACTGGAGTTTGACTGGATCTCAGCGCCCTGGACAAGCGTGTGCCCACGAGCACGAGCCCGTGGCTCCATCCAGCCCCATTTTCCCTCCAGGGAGTCCCAAACCCTCCCCCAGCTCCCCCCGTCTGTCCCACGGCCCAGCCCCGCTCCAGCCCTGGCAGAGCTGCAAACACCCCCCGGGCTCCTGAAGCCCCAAACCAATGCTCAGGCTCACCCCCGGGGACCCCCTCGCCCCTCTCAGCACAACCCAACCCCACAGCTCTGGGACCACACCGTCACCCGGCCCTTCGCCCCTGCCTCTCCACCCTTCCCAGCACACACGGCAAGGACCAGCCCGGAACGGGAAAAAGAGCAAATCCACGCTGGCAGGAAACGTGTCCCTCTGACTCACCCCACCCCACGGTCGCCCTGCCGGGCCCCGCTCACGCCGGGGATCTCCTGAAGCTGCACCTGCCACCGCGTGCGGCTCACGGGAGAGATCCTGGCACCATCTACGGGCCCGGCGGGCCCGAACGGGGGGGGACAGGGACAGGACGGGAGCGGGGCGGGGCGGAGCAACGCCGGCGGGCCTCGCGCCACGGCCGGGGCTGCCCGCACCGGTGCCTGCCGCCGCCCGCAAACCTGCCGCTCGCACCCGGGGCCGCCGAGCTCCCCGCTCTGTCCCCCGAGCGCCTCGCCCCGTCCCCACAGCGGGAAGCGCCGAGTGAGATGGGCTGCGAGCGCGGGGTGCGGCTCGGGGACGGGGCGGAGGTCAGGCAGTAGGATAGGCGCCTCTCTGTGGCGGAGGGGGGCCTCGCGCCGCCATCACTGTGTGGCTCTGGACACATTCCGGTCACCCCAGCACCGTCTTTGGTGTAGCCTTGGAGCACCGCGGGTCAGGGCGGCGCCGTCCTTAGGGGCACCAGTCCGGGTTTTCCCCCATTCCGCACTCCTGGAAAAATCCAGTCCGGGTTTTCCCCCATTCCGTACTCCGGGAGAAATCCAGTCCGGGTTTTCCCCCATTCCGTACTCCGGGAGAAATCCAGTCCGGGTTTTCCCCCATTCCGTACTCCGGGAGAAATCCAGTCCGGGTTTTCCCCCATTCCGTACTCCGGGAGAAATCCAGTCCGGGTTTTCCCCCATTCCGTACTCCGGGAGAAATCCAGTCCGGGTTTTCCCCCATTCCGTACTCCGGGAGAAATCCAGTCCGGGTTTTCCCCCATTCCGTACTCCGGGAGAAATCCAGTCCGGGTTTTCCCCCATTCCG